CCACAACCACAATCGGCGGCAGGGCCCAGGTGCCCCAAGCATGGGACTGGGTGCTGAGACCCCGCGACCCGCCCACAAGCACAGGGGCGGCTTGAGGAGGAGGGTTCCTTTGGAGTCGCCTCCGGGTTGCTCCCTCCTCCCCTCGTCCCCATCCCCATCCCCAGCCTGAACTGCCCAGGCCCAGAGTTGTTCGCCAGGCATGCAGTTGAGGCTCCACTGTTTGTTTTTGTTTTATTTATCCTCACCCGAGGGTATTTATTTTCCCATTGGTTTTGGGGGAGAGTGGAAGAGAGGGAAAGACAGAGAAATATCGATGTGTTTGCTTGCCTCCTGCACATGCCCTGACCAGGAGCCCGCAACCAAGGTACATTCCCTTGACCAGAATCAAACCCGAAAGGGTCCCGCAGGCTGGCGCGCTACCCACTGAGCCAAACCGGCTAGGGTGCGACAGGTTTGAGTGCGAGATTCTGCCAGTGCCCAGCCAGGTAGCCTTGATCGTTTCCCCAACGCCTCGGAGCCTCCTTCCTGGCCTGTAGAATGGCTGCGAGGTCACCTACCCCGCAGGGTGCATAGTCCTGCAGCCTCTCTGTGCCAGGCCTGGGGGCAGAGCGGACATCCATCACTTGTCGCCAAACAGGATCCGTAACATAAGAGAGCGAAGGGCCCAGAGGCCGCCCTGGCTGGGCCCGGTGTGTGCGGACCTGCATCTGTAAGGTCAGGGGAGTGGATGGGCCGAGCCCCGGTGCTGCTGCTCAACAATCTGGCGCTTACACTGCGAGGCCTCCCTGCCAGACCCTGCCCTAAGGCTTGGCACATCCTTCCGTCCTAAGACAACCCTTAGTGGTTCTCAACCTTCCGGCCCTTTAAATACAGTTCCTCCTGTTGTGACCCAACCAGAAAATTATTTTTGTTGCTACTTCATAACTGTAATGTTGCTACTGTTATGAATCGTCATGTAAATATCTGATATGCAGGATGGTCTTAGGCGACCCCTGTGAAACGGTCATTCGACCACCAAAGGGGGCGCGACCCACAGGTTCCTTAGACGGAACCCCGCTTTACGGAGGGGAGGCCGGACGTGGGTGGCGACCCCCGGTGGGAGGAGGTCGCGTGGCTCTACCCCGGCTCTCTGGCCTAAAACAATCCGGACAATCGGGCGAGGGGCCGGGCTACGGACTTTGGGGCGCCGCCCCCTGTCCCCCCTCCATCGGGGCTACTAGGCG